AGCGGTCTGTCTGGGACATTTTCAGGTGGGTAGTTACCGTTATAGGAGCCTTATAGAAGGTCTATATACCTTATAGAAGCCTTATAGAAGCCCTATATACCCTAAACTCCCCACCTGTAGTTTCCTTTAATCCCTAAACCCTAAACCCTAAACCCTTAAAGGAACCCTAAAACCCAAACCCTTTAAAGGAACCCTATATACCCTAAACTCCCCACCTGTAGTTTCCTTTAATATAGGTAACTACTACGGCCCCTAGATATGAGGAGCTCTGAGGTTCAGCCTCTAAAGGCTTTATCTGAGAGAAGCCTTGGGGTTCAGAGTTGAGGCCTTATAGAGGGTTTAGGGTTTAAGCCCATGCTGAAAGGAGTTTAGGGATTAGGGTTTAGGGATTAGGGCTTAGGGTTTAGGACTTAGGGCTTGGGGTTTAGGGTTTAGGGTTTAGGGGATAGCCCTAAACCGTTGCAAGCCTAGGCCTTGGGGGAGTCTGATCTCAAGAGCAACGAGCGAAAGTTTGTAAAACATTCTTAGGGTTTTAGGGATTAGGGTTTTAGGGATTAGGGTTTAGGGTTTAGGTTTTAAATTTAGGGATTAGGGATTAGGGTTTAGGGTTTTAGGGATTTGCCCCCGTAAAACGAGAAGGCCTTGCTCTTGAGGTGTGTTCGCTGGCACACAATCCAAGCCCATGCTGAAAAGGGATTTACCCCCCTATAGGGTTTATAGGAACAGTCTGTAAGGCTTCAGGGTTTCGGCTTAGGGTTCCAGGTTCTGGGTCAGACATGAAGAGCCTAAGCAGTGTGACGATTGCGCACCTGCTGCCCCCAGTAGCTGCTGAAAAGGAAGCAAAGGCATCATCACTTTACTACTGTAGGTGTTGGAACAGAGGGCCTAGGTAGGGTTTGCAGGGTTTAAGGAGTTCTGTTTTCTCTGTTCAGACCTTTATTGACACAGATCTGTGGACCATGCGTGCAACCTGAAACCGTGAACCTCAAGCCTTAAACCCTAAACCCCGCACCTCGAACCCCGTGCGCGACCCCGGGCTGCACAGTGCGTCCCAGGTCAAAAGCGTGCAGAGTTTCATTCCGCAGGAGACCCCCGTCAGTGTGCGCTTGGGATCCTTCAAGGTTTTTGTTTTGCGAGTTTAAGTGTGAGTGTTCAGGGAAGGTTGTTGAGTTTCACGGCTGAGATTTTGAGGCAGCTCGGGGTCTTTAGGATGCTTATCCACACCAAAACCTTAGCGATGTAAGGTTATTTTTAGTGTCTGGTGTTTCCTGGGCGGTTTCGGTCTCTCAGGTGTTGAGGGTGCTTTCACGGAATTAGGGCAGGGCCGTGCATACGGCAACCAGTTCATTCAACAGTGCTGCAAGCTTGCTGAAGCTCGGACGGCGTACATGACCGGTTTACCGACGACTGTCGGACACGAACCCTCATTGAAAGTTACGCTTAGGGTTTAGGGTTTAGGGTTCCAAAGACCGCGAGATGTACCGCGAAGTTTCGACAGATTTATCAGCGGTCCAGCCCGGGAAAGTGGATCGAATCGCCGTTGATGCGTGTCGGTGTAGACGGTTGTTGGAGATCCGAGGCGGTGTGTCTTATAAGGCGAAGCTCGCACGGGGCGAACTACATCGTGAAGGTCAGCGATGAGAACCCGACTAAAAGCTCTGACGTCAAGCTGCTGCTGGAGAGAGAGAGGAGAGTGCTGGCCCAGACTGGGTCAGGTATTGAAGTTCGAAGAATGATCTTTGAGCGAGTTCGGCTTTGACGGTCTGATAGCTTCCTTAGCTGACTGCGTGAGACTAGGCAGACACGCAATCAAGCCGGCGTCGAAGGATCTGGTTTGGAGGTTGCTGCCTCCTTTAATCCGGGATTTTTCCATACTTAGATCCGAAGCTCCAAAGCCCTCGACGCCAAGAAACTAAACACCTATACCTTTGCCAGGAAAATGCTCCTAAAACCTTAAACCCCACATGAGCCGATAAACGCGCTGCACCGTACACAGGAAACCCTAAAGTCGGTACAGCCTCAACGGACCACAGGGGCTTTACGACTGTCTTGAAACTTGGGTTGAGGATTAACTTCTCTCGCGAAAACTGAAGCAAGGGCCTTGTGTTGGGATTTTATGGTTGATGAGGTTCCGCATTGAATTTGTAGCTTTGAAGCAACACAGTGGGCTCCCTGCGTAGGCCCTAAATTCTGCGGGGTTTGGGAACTTCCGATGACTGACAGGATTTGGCTATGTGCGCCTGGGCGTTTGCGAAGGTCGCCATGCGTGTTGGCATCCCAGGGGCGGAAATTGGCAAGCCCTCCCCGAACCCTAAACCCCTGTCCAGGCTTACCCTTTAAGTTAAAGGCCTCTCGGAATAACAGCAGTATAGGTATGTAGGGGTTAGAACAGAGGGTAGTTGGGGCTCTATGTATGTAATTGTTCTTGATAATTTGTTGGATAAGTATGGTCCGGTATGCCTCCATACCCGTGTTCGGATTAACCAAGGCCTTTGTCTTTGGAGGAGTCAGATACCCTCCGAAGCTTTCTTACAACTCTTCGGAAAGTTCAGATGGTCGGTGGACATAGTTCGTGAGTGACATGCCGGGTTCAGTGTTTCGGGCGTGTGCTTTAGGGGTCTAGGGTCTCTCTAGTGTGCAAGAATGAACCTACAGACCGCCAAATGATGGGCGCCCTCCATCCTCAAGCCTTCACTTCGACCCCGACACCACCCTAAGTTTTAAACCCTACAAGCCCCAAAACCCTACAGCCGTCGGGATCCTCTGTTGGGGGGGACGTTTTTCTAGCCTCATAGGGATCGCAAGGGGGGGGGGGGTAGGGCTGATGATGCTGATGGTTAGGGCTCTTGGGGTCGAGGGTGTTTGGGGATAGGGCTTGCAGGCCGGGGTATAGGTCCCATGAGGGTGCTTACGCGCTGATAAGGTTTGTGTTTGAGTGGGTTTGAGGCCGGGGGTAGCACCTCTCACCCCGACAAGCCTGGGCCCCTCTAAACGGCCATACTTTCTCCAATGGGGAGATGGAATGCAAAGGTATTTTCGCACCCGGAAATCTAGGGTGTAAACCCTAAACCCTAAACCTTCAGTCCTAAACCCTAAAGCCTAAACCCTAAGTCCTAAACCTTCAGTGAACTCAGGATGGACAATTGCTGCGGATGTTTGCAGATGAGGCCGACACCGGGCCTCTGGGCCTCCGGGCCTAGCTGGGGCCTGGAGTCATTTTGACTACCTGTAGGAACCATTGTAGTTCCTTTTTGGGGATACCATATAAACTCCTTAACATATAATTGGTTAAACCAGACAAAAGGAACTACAAGGGAGACTATATAGGTAATTATGAGAGAGTCCTCGTGAGCTGGGCTTCTTCTGTTCTGCACAGAGTAAGGGTCCGAGGTTGGGAAGCTGAACCCTCCAGACCCAAAGTCTAGAGCCGCGCTTAAACTTTGAAATTAAAGCTATTTGGGAGTTTCCGACAATTAGGGGTACCATATTTTGGGGTCCTTATATTAAAGTTTAGGGTGCTATATTGGGGGGTCCCCTATTTTCAGAAACCCCCATTTCTGAAACCCCCAAACCGCAAAAAACACAAACCTCAACATGTACATAAGCCAAAAAGCATCCAAGAACCCTGAGAGACACCAGATCCCTGGTTCCGGCAGGCATTGGAGAAGTATGCCGAGATGAATGGTGCTGACCTCAGGCAAATAAAGTAGGGCTTAGGCTTTAGTGGTGTGGAGCTTTGGGTTTATTGGGGGGGTTTGGGTTTAGGGTTCTCGCGCCATGATGAATGAAGCTTACAGTGCAGCCCAGGCGGGGCTTTGCCGCGTCTATGAGCCCTTCTTTTGTTGAATCTGGGCCTGGGGACTAGCCCGACGACAGCGCTCGTATAGAAGAAACGAGCGCCCTGACCCCCAAATGCTAAACGTTGAATTAAAATGCACATAAACGGACTTAAAAAGCCCGCACATAAAGCCAGAATCAGCCCCTATAGAACCCGTATGAATTCCTTTACTTACTCCTTAAGCCCTGAACCCCTTAAAATCTAACAGCCCGAAACCGCTTCAACCCAAAACTACTTCCGGTTCGAGGTCAGAACGTGTCCAATCTTGTTTGGTCCTTGGCGACGATCCGCGAGAACCACGAGCCCCTGATGAACGCTGTGTCGCCGGGGGTGCCCAGGGGTCTCCGCCCATGATGGATTTCAAGGGGTTTTGCAGAGCTTTTCCTGTTTTAGAAGGCCTCCCAAAAAATAAGCAGACTATATAAACAGTGTATTTGAAGTTCACTCTTGTGCCTTCTTGTTGTTGTTTATTTCAGGCTCCTGTCGCACCCACGAATCGAATCTGAACATTTCCCTGGAACCCAAAGCCATTTTGCTTTACGGGTTCAGGGGCTTAAACTGGGATATAAGTATAGGGGGCTTCTATACCGTAACCCTGCACAAGAAGAAATGTTCGGCATTCTTAGCGAAATCCTGTTGGGACTACCTATAGTCTCCATTGTAGTTCCTTTGTTTGGTTTAACCAATAAAATATTAAGGATGTTATAAGGTATCCCCAAAAAGGAACTACAATGGAGACTACAGGTATTACTACCTTATTGTATGGAGCCTTGGGGCTTTTCAGGTAAATGGAATCCTCCACAGCGGAACGCGGAGTTCCCCAAGCCCAAAACATCTCTGAATGCTAAGACCCCCAAACTCTAAAGACCCAAAACCTAATGCCATCGACGCACTAGTCAGTTCCAAATCCAGGAAAGTCACACCTGAACCCGAGACCTAAGCAACATCATTCCTATAGAGTTCCTTCTTATAAGCATAGAGTAATGTCCTTCTCAAAGTATTGAGGCCCCTACTTAGGGGTTTAGGGTTTAGGTTCATTATTCCTAGGGTTCCTTCTTATAAGCATTCAATAATGTCCTTTTCAAAGTATTGAGGCCGCTACTTAGGGGTTTAGGGTTTAGGTTCATTATTCCTAGGGTTCCTTCTTATGTCCTTTTCAAAGTATTGAGGCCCCTACTTAGGGGTTTAGGGGTTAGGTTCAGGGTCAAAGTTCCACCACCGACGGCCAAGGCGTACGAGAGCGCAGACCATCCAGGGCCTGGTTGCTGCCTCGGCTCTTCTTGGGCTCGTGGACGCTTTGGGCTTATGGTTTAGGGTTTAGGGTTTAGGGTTTAGGGTTCAGGGTTTAGGGTTTAGGGTTTAGGGTTTATAGGGGGGTGTATCGTAGGGGGTTGTTCCGAAGAAGATTTCAGAAGCTTTGCTGTTGATGAGCTTTTGTGAGACATCTGACAAAACAGGGGTTGCTGAGAATAGTGTGTATTCAGGGTTTCAAGTTTTCAGGGTGTGGAGTTTACCTGAACTTCAAGACGCCCCAGCGAATGGATTCTAGCCCAAATTTGTGCACACATACGGAAAGTAGGGTTTAGTTTTTCAGGGTCTACGGGGTACACATATTGAAACCCTGAAACCCCAAACCTCAAACCCGTTCCTGATCGTAGTGTTCATGCGCATCGGTGTCCTTTGCAAGTCTCGGCCGGAGGGAGTCACGTCTTGAATTTTGAACCACACGATGGTCCTAAGGCGAAAGCGCTGAAAGCCTTCAGCGAACACTCCAACAAATCTCTGAACTCTATTTTATATACACCCAAAACCCCTAGACGCCTGAACCCTGGACCCCAAACTGAACCGATGGTAGGAAGCGTTGACATCTCAACACTACGCCCTCCTTGGCCGCTCGAGATAACAAATCTCCGAAGTCTGCTCTGCAACCTGTGAGGATGAACCTGAAAGGCGTTAGGGTTTAGGGTTTAGGGTTTAGGGCGACTCCTACGAAAATGGACACCCCTGAATCTGTGAAACCCGAGGGGTCCGAAGGACCCCAGAATTAGGTACTTAGGTTCCGGATAGTAGTTATCATTATCTGGGTGTTCATTTGGGAGAGTATATGATGATTAGGTATTTGGGCCTTTAGGGAAAGAGGCAATTATGCACACAAAAGCCGTGGAGTTTGGCAAATTAGGGGTCCTTCAGCACCACAGCTGGAGTGTTTCAAGCCCACATCGTACCCAAAGGCTCCATTGCAGTTCCTGTTTGTCATTACCTTATAGGATCCTAAATCTTATAAACCGCAAAAGGGAACTATATTGAAGCCTACGAGTAGCTGCAATGCCCCAAAACCCTAAACCCTAAACCCTAAACCCTAAACCGGAGGCTCAGCAAGAGTTTTCCAACATCGTCTGGCCGGGGCCCTGCGTAGGAGCACCGTGGCGAAGAGCAGGGCTAGCACTTGGCCCCGAAGCCCTAAACCCTATATAGTTTAGGGTTTAGGGTTTAGGGTTTACTAACCTTAATGGCCCTAAACCCCTACGACTTTCGAATCTCAAGAAGCTGTAGCCCGTTTCAAGGGCTTTGAACGGCTCGACAATCTGAAGAAAGTGTGCTTGGGGCTAAAGGAGACCCTGAAGACGAGGGTATGCAATGGTAAATTCTTTTAAGAGGTCGTAGACTCCCTGGGCCCTACAAAGGCTCCAGGAGGTTTCTGGAGCCCCAAAAATGGGCCGTGTAGGTAGGGTACTCAAAAACGGTTTAGGGTCTAGGGTGCTGCTATAAGGGCCTTGCAGGGTCAGTCTTTCTGTTTATCAGTCTGATTGAGGTACTTACGGCCCTGCTTATTCGCTCCCAAGACAGGACCTCAGTGAGGATATCAACGACAGCAGAACTGCCTACTGTTTGTGTAGTAGACCCCTCCAGATTGTGTTTTCAAAGTACCTCGAAGTTTACTTTGTCAAGGATTATCATCGGATAGTTCTCTTGAGCATAGAACTTGCCTCAAGCAGACCTGTATTTTGGCAGCTGATCATGCATTCCAGCGTCCTACCAAAACCCAGAGATCTTCAGGATCAAGCTACGTAAAACCTACACCCATCAACCCTAACACACCCACCAACCCTAAACACTAGACTACTAGACCCTGCAAGCCGTAACCATTAGGGAACCATGATAGACTTTATGAAACCTCGGACACAAGCCCGTACCCTAAACCCTAAACCCT